GAGGAGGAGAATTGCAGCATATTTTATGTCATTTTTTTTTCAGTCTATGTTTGAGTTTATTTATTGGGTTTGAACATGTTTATAACTTATTTGGTGAGGAAGGCCCGATTACTCCTAAACATGTTTGACCTTGCTTGTACGTTCAAATGTAGATTACAGAGAAAATATGAAATGTCATAAAAATCCTCCCCCTGATTATGACATAGTGCAAAGGATGGCTGTCCTATAGAGTATGGTAGAAAAGACGCTGATGTGAATGTGGACTAGTTACTATGAGAATAATTAAACTTTGCAGCAAGAAAATAGGAAAGTAGTCACATAAACTATGGATGGAAAATTATGCCAGGGGAGGGGAGATTTACCCAAACTAATCTGCTCAGAGGTCACAACAGGTGTAAAAGCAAAATACAACTAAGCTTGTTTTCCATATAGCAGATCCTTTCAAATGAGTGCTGCCTAATAACATGGTTGAGAAAGCAAACACCTCAGCATGTATAAAAATAAATGGGAATGACGGAGGGAAGGGGATTTGATGTATAAAAATAAATGGGAATGACGGAGGGGGACTTGAATGCGTGGAGGAGGAGGTCTTTCAGGTTTTGGACCAAAGCCATTTAAGGATTTGTACTAAAAAAAAGCCAATTATGTTGATGGAAGAGCATAAGCCAACCACAGCTTCCTCAGTAGGATCATTGGATGGACATAGCTTAAAGCAATTTGACAATCTCACTGTTAGTGGGAGTTAGTAATCATTGTATGTCGATCCAGGTCAATTCTGACTTATGGTGATCCTTCCCAGGTTTTTCTAGGTATAAAATTCTCAGAAGTGGTTTACTATTCCCTCCTTCTTGGGGGCATCCTGGGACTTGCCCAAGGCTTACAATTGCTGGATCTTCTCTTCAGAGGCACAATGGGGAATTGAACCCTCAGACTCTAGCTCCACAGTCAGATACCTGACTGAACAAACTATCCAGCCAGTAGGAGTTAGAATCCTCAAATCTCCACAAACTTTATGGGCTGCTGGGGGAAAGTATATATAAAATTGGGAATATTAGTTTTATAGTCACAATTATCTGGCTTACCTGCTGTCCAATATTTTCTTACTAGGGTTTCCTGTCTGCATTTCCATTCCAGATGTTGTTTTCCCTAAGAAAATTTATTCTGTATCTATGATATTAGGAATAACTAGTGACTGTGAAGAGGCGGAGCCTGGAGGAGAGAAGTTCAGTCAGAGAGAGAGCTAGAGAGAGAAGGGTAGTTTGGGGAGAGAAGTTCAGTTAGAGTCAGAGAGAGCTAGAGAGAGAAGGATAGTTTGGGGTTTGGAGGCAGAGAGTGTTTAAGGAGTGATTAGGCAGTGATTAGTTAGAGTTTGACTAGTGTTATTGAAGAGATTAAAGTAAAATGTTGAAGCTTTGTGGAACTTTAAAAATGTGCTTAAGAATTATACCTAAAACCATGTGTAATCAATAAACCTGTTTCTGTTTTAAAAAAAAGGTTTTTTATGTAATCAATAAACCTGTTTCGGTTAAAAAAAGTTTTTTTAAAAAGGAATAACTAGTGACTGGATGTTATTGATAAGCTTCAAGAACAGAAGCAATCGGAATGCTGAGCACATGTGTGCCAGATGCAAAGTTCATGGTTATTCTTGGACAATGTGATCACATTTTTCACGGCAATTATTTTCATTGTCCATGTGTTGCACTGCAATCCAATTGCATGGCAATGAAACAGCAGATTTTTTTGTGTGCTGCGGTTACAAAAAACAACAACTCTACCTTGTGACAAAGTCAATATTTTGTTGGTCTATATAGTATGTGTTTGTGCTGCATTTCTGATATTAAATGCCTGCATTTAATAGCTTGTCCCCAGGTATTAAATGTAAGAGGTAACTAATTAATTATTTAACAAATATATATTAACATATATGCAATGTACAATAAATTTATAAACATATTGGCCACAAGAATTAGGAAGAAGATTCCTGCTGAGAAAGTCTCTGTTTCTTCTAATGCTTTGGGTGTGACTCCTTGGAATTTCCTCTTAGTATTGAACAGGAAGGGAGTTCACTCCTTTTAGGCAACAGTTCCGTAAGTGAGAATTTACTCCCCCTCCTCGTTGGTTATGATTCACCTAGCTAAGCCTCAGGTGGAAAGTTTTAACCCCAGGCGGGTGAAAGTCTCAGTAGACTCATCCATTCAGTGTTCTGGAATCAATACAAAATGATGATTCACTGTAGATGGAAATAATTATGAAAAATACTAAAAATGTAGATATAAGTGATCCATATAAACCTAAGTCCTTAAAGCATTTATCGTATGTTATCTTAATGAGCTTTGTACTGCTCCTTTTAGATCGTTCAATATTGTTGCCTAGCATTGCTGAAGCTGTTTATTTATTTATTTAAAATATTTTTACCCCACCTTTCTCCTTAAAAGGACCGAAGGTGGCTTACATCATTAAAAGGACAATATTTCAAAGCTAAAAACAGTAAGTATACAGATATTAAAAAGAATTAAAGAAGTATCCTGTTAAAAATGGTAAATAAAATCAATACAAATAACTCATTTAAAAGCATCAGAGCACAAGCATCCAATCTAAGTTGCTTGTTTCTGGCGAGGTAACAATGAATTGCATGCCGTCAGGCTGGTTCCAACTTATGAAGACCCTTTTGAGGGTTTTCTAGGTAGAGAGTACTCGGAAGTGGTTTGCCACTGCCTTTTCTGAAGGCATCCTGGGATTGTGCAGCTGTCCCAAGGCTACAGAAGCTGGCTTTTCTCCAGGGAGGCAAAATGGGGGATTGAACTCCAGACCTCTGGCCCTGTAACCAGGCTCCTAAATCACTGAGCTACTCAGCTAACCAGGTTAAAATTAGGTGCTACTAAAGGGGCCACTGCTGAAAGCATGTTTCAAGCTTTCTCCGTTCCTGGAGGACACCAGTTTGGGAGAGGCTGATTTAATGTTGTTTTACCACCCTCCTATATGAGGTAATATGCTGTGTGCTCCCATAACAGAGTCAGCAGCAGCCAGTGATGGACTGCGAGATTGGGTGGGAAGGGCAAAGGGAAAGCAAATGGCTGATGTGGGTCTTCTATCCAAGCACAAGGATGCTTATAGCTCAGACTGTGCATCCCAACAAACTAAAGGCCAGTCCATTCTTTGAAAGTTGGTGTGATCATGTCTGTGCTTAAAAGTTCCTTATCCTCAGTGCAATCTGCATTAAGCTCCCTTTTAGCAATCTTTCCACCCACATCGGAGTTTCAAGGCTCATGGGAAGCTGGGCCACAGTGTTGAAGAGGGCTGACCGCCTCCATGCTCTTCCTCTTCGCTTCCTAGCTGATCTCGCGGCTGCTCTCAGCTTGCAAGCGGATCGACGAGGGCAGAAAGCTGGCCACGGTGCCAGGGAGACTCAGAGAAGCTCGCAACCTTGGCTTACCACCCGTCATCTCTTCTTGTTCTTCCCCACCTGTCCCTTTCCCTGTCCTGATCCTGCGTTGAAAGTGATCTTTACTTGCATCACCCCCTCCTTCCTTCTAACGTTGCTGTTTAAGTGTTGCTGCTGATTCCTGTATCATACGTGCATTTAAACATTGTGCACTTAAGAGGATATGTGCTTCCTGAGCCTGCTGGACTCTGAAAGGTGCTAAAAAGAATGCATGCTCTAGCCCTGTGTGAAAGATAGGGACCAGCTCTTAAAGGGGAAGGATTGATTGTTCTAAACAGAAAAACTAGCAGATGAAGTCTTTTTTTTCCATGCCAAACAATGCATCAGCGATCCATATACCATAAACTATATGCCAGTGTGGGCAGAGTCTATAATTTTCCTGAGCTTTGCTACTGACCCTGAAATAGGGATTGAATAGCAAGAAATGAAGAATAATTTGACTAGTAGGTGGGAGCTGAAAGCAAGAGGAGATGTGCCTTAAAGTGAATCTTTCAAGAAATTTAAAGCAAAGACCACCATTAACTTCAGTAAAGATTCTTCCTCTCAGGTTTGGAACTCTTGGAAAAGCAATGGCCATTATTTTTAGATGCTTCCTTTCAGTATATTGAGCTTCTGTTGCCATCTAGTGGTTACTAAGTAAATAAAAGGAACAAGATAAAACCTCACTGAACACAAATGTCTCCATGCACAATCTAACATTATTATTTCTTCATATAAAATTTTATTTTGGCTGACTTAAGACAGTAAGATTCTCCCTTGGCCACTTACATACAGTTGTTGAACACTGCAAGCAATGGACAGTTCTGGTTATTTCTGTTATACATTTACAAAGTTCTTCACCACCAATATTCTCACCTGAACCAATTAATGTTTATTATTTCATGTTACTACTAATGAGACATGGGGGAGGGGGGGGCTGAGAGTCAGAGATTTGCTGACGAGCACAAAAAGATTCCACAGCAAAAGCAGGGCTTACATATGTTATGATCTTCTTGATTGCACCATGCTGGGCATGAAAATGTACAGCCCTATACTAATTGAAGGTAATAGAAATCGAATGTACAGTCCATGGGGCTACTTTTCCCTCTTTCCCCCAAAGGTAATTTCTGGCAAGTGCAATTAAGTATGCACATTAAAACAAAACTCGACAAACAGTTTTAGGTGTAATGAAAATTGAGTTATTTTTAAATGTTTTGGGAGGCGTACACGTGGTTGCAAGATGCATTTTCTTGCAGTTCCATTTCATTTGGCTTTCATATGCTGAGGCCCTTGGTATGCTCCAAGAAACACGCCTAGTAGCTTTCTAGCTATTCAGAGTGATGCTGACTTTCTAGTAATGTCAGACCATACATGCCAAGCTTAGCTTCTTGTCTCTGGAACAAGACTGTTTTCACAAGAGCAGAATAGTTGCTTGGAATAAAGAATGTTAATGTCTCACTTGACCCTCAGCTACTTCTCATGCAAGACAGTACACTAAGAGTTTTCTGCATGCCAGTCCCATGTTTGACCTGTTAAATATAGACAAACCGGTTTTCTCCCACCCTTGCTCTTCACCCAGAATATAAGGCAAGTTATATTAGGAGTCGTTCGATTCGTTCAGTGTCTGTGGAGCTTGATGGAGAGTTGTATAATTTGGATTTGGAAGATGGGTACCAGCCTGTTTTGCCAAGGAATATCACATATAAACGTAAGAATGATAAAGGAGCTGAAGGAGAAGAGGAGGATGACGACGATGACGACGATAAGGATGTAGGTGAATACAGTGGTACTGGCAGCATTCCTGAGAAGGCAGCCCCTAATTTAATAAAGGTGACACACAGGTATGTTTTAATAAGAGTTTTTTATTAAGGTGATTTTATCTTCTTCTATTAATAATATGATTCGTAGCAATAGTAATAGTGTTAATTTACACTGAACAGAATGCATAGCACAGCACTTAACATCAATTATCCATTCTTGAACCAGCCAATTTAACCTCTAGTTGTTCATAGAACAAAATCTCCACTGAGCTTGGACATACACAGTTTTCCGGTTGAGTGTACACTAGTATGGCCACCATGGCTGTTTTCAAAGAAGATGGATTAATACAGTGCCATAAACAAAGATATTTTCAGATTTTTGGCATATTCAGCACCATATTCTGTCTTTCTAGAATGAACCCTTGTTTGTCTGCCTACCTCATGTATCTTCAAGGAGAAAACATGATCCTTCATAAGTCTCTTAACAGCAGCCAATATATTAATGGTCCATTGTGCCATATAGTACAGTGGTGCCTCGCTTAACGAGCGCACCGTTTACCGAAGAATCCGTATAGCGATCCCTTTTTGGGGATCGCTAGCCGCCGATCAGCTGATCGGCGGCTCCAAAATGGCCGCCGGACGCGAAAACATCGCTGGAGGGGTAAGTTTGGACGCTTATTGGAACGCATTAAACTAAGTTTAATGCATTCCAATAGGCTTTCCTTGCCCGTACAGCGATGTTTTCGCATAGCGAAGGTTAATCCGGAACGGATTAACCTCGCTATGCGGGGCACCACTGTATATCAGTAGAGCAGGTGCTCATTTTTGCCCTCCCTGCTGTTTACTCTGTTGCTGGATCAATCCTTATTAGCATAATGCCTTTTTTTAGACTACTAGAAATGTACTGTGAGAAGCAGTCATTTGTACTGCTCGTTCTGCTGGCCAAATCTAGTAACCACTTTCTTTTTCTGCACAGATGCTACATCTTAGAGAATGACACTGTTCAATGCGACACGGACTTATATAAGTCACTGCAAGCTTGGAAGGACCATAAGCTTCATATAGACCATGAGGTGAGGGAGCCTCAGAGGTGCACACACTCAAAATTCATGAGAAACATCCTTTGAATTTCATTACAAAATGCCAGAATATCTTCAGTGGGATCATCGTCTTACCATGGAGGCTATCGCTTCCAAACCGAGTTGTGCTCTTATTCTTCCCAACAAATGGCTAGAGCATAATTAAGGGGAGCAAGATAAAATGATAAACAGGCAGCTGTCACCTTTGGAGTGCATCCTAGTCAGTTGCAGAATGAGTACTAGCAATGTTGGCTGCAGGTGTTTTGAGACACTTGGCAGATCAAGACCTAGTCATAATAGCTTCTCAATGACATTCTGTGGCTTTTTAAAAAAAAGAAAACAGAATTAATATTGGCTGTTTTTCCTACCTTCTGCTCACTGGCTTGTATTGAAATAGCATCAGGTTTATGCCATCCAAAGGCATAATCTAAAGCAACACTAGTGATAAAGTTAGAATTCAAGACTGTTCTGTCAGGAAGATGTTTTCTCTTGCACTTTTATGTGCAGTGACTCAAGTCTTGGATGGGACTGTTTGCATTGATACTGAAAATGAGTTACACCCAGTGACACCATTCACTTTGAGGCACCTGATTTTGAGCCTGGAGATTTTGCTAAAGGTGGAGAGTGTGGAAGATGTTCACTATTTTTCTTCTACAAGTGCTACAATCCTATTGTTTTCCAGAGTAACCCAACCCTTCTGCAACAGTTTTTCACTGGATGCAGGCAACTACAGGGAAAAGGAGGAATAAGTGAAAATCCTTTCTAATTTTTGTTAGCAAAAGGTCTTCTGGTCAAGTGGAAGCCTCAGCTAACAGAAGGGCACCATTCAAAGCAAGCCAATGTGCCTAGTTGTAAAAAAAAAGTTATTTATTTATTTAATATATTTTTACCCCCACCTTTCTCCTTAAAATGATGCAAGAACTGAAGGGTAACAAAGAGAGCACACAAGTCCACAAACAAAATATACGTCTAGTGCATTTGCAACACTTTTTTTCATGTGTCATCAAAGTATTTATGACTTCTGGTGGTCTTAAGTTTTCAAGGTATGTGAAATGTTTAAGGAGTAGTTTATTACTGCTTCCCCCGCTGAGTTTTCGTGGTTGAGCAGGGTCTTTACTCCAGGTCTCCTGAATCTTTTCAAGGTATGTAAAATATTTAAGGAGTAGTTTATCACTGCTTCCCCCACTGAGTTTTCGTGGTTCAGCAGGGCTTTTACTCCAGGTCTCCTGAATTCTAGTCCAACACTATATCCATTGCACTATGTTGGTTATCATTTACAAATACAGACGTATGCAGTCTTAAGAGCATGTTTACTGCTGTTTCAGAGGGTCAGCACTGCCCTATATTTTCCCTTCTGCAGAGTGTGTACATGAAAATTTGTACAAGCAGTAGTCCAAGGCAATTCACAAAAGGGGACAGTCATGCACATACTCTGCTATCAACTATATAGTTATCTGTGTTTCCACACTGCTCATCACTGAAGGTGTATGTACACTTATTATGATTTCCAAGGAACCCTGGTTTACTGAGGTACTTAGAATGCTTGGGTACAAAGCCCTGAGCTACAGTTCCCACGGTAGATCTAATATTCAGACTTCTTTGCAGGTGGCTTGGGAGATATAGTTAGGAATAGGGAACAAATGAAAGTTCAAAGCATGAATAATTAGTCTTTGGAGAAATGAAAAAAGGGAAGAAATACTACCCAGCATTGGTAATAGTAAGGTTCCTTATGCAATGCAGTGTAATTTAATTAGAAATCTCCTGTTTAAAACTGACTTTACAGCCTAGTACGCACTCTATCATAGATGGCCCCACCGCTCTCTCATCACACAATCAGTCAGGAATATTTTTTCTTTAAAAAGAAAAATATTTAAAATAAATTCCAAATAAATAAAAAGAAAAGAATGTGACAGTAGCCACCCTGAGTAGACATGGTCTAGAGGGGCAGGGTATAAATTTAATAAATAAATAAATAAAATAAATAAGACAGTAAGTTCTGGGTCTATAAAGAGAATCTTCCTTATTCACAGTTACTCAAAAAGTTGTTCAAAAGAACTAGTGCAAGTTTCTGGTATTGCCATATCTTAACTCCTTTATGGAAAGATGGAAAGGTTTAAGAAGTCATCGTGGATTGTATCGACATCTTATCTAATATTCTGATGCCGATACCTGTGGGAAGCACACCAGCAGAAGCTGACTGTGCCTTCTGCCTCTGTTTCTCCAACAACTGATACTGTATATGGAAGCATATCACTTCTGATAATGTTTTTTTGAGAAATAGTGGAAATATAGTTCTATCTGATATAGAAGTCAGAAATCAGGTTGCACTTCTAGGCAGATGTTGCTCTCGCTTCTTCCCCATTTTGAGATTTTCATCCCTGTACAGAGACTGGAGTGCTGTCATCAAGCTTGCCTTCTTGCTTGAGGGCAAATTTGGTGCAACATCTTGCTTCTCCTGCTCTTCACAAAAAAGGCGGGGGATCAAAGTGCACAAAGAGACTTACCTAGTTGGGTGGAAATCACACAGAAGTTGAAAGGGATATTTAATGGATATCAGCTGGGCAAATGGGATGGTAGAAACCAATTCATCTTGGAACTCCCCCCCTCCCGGTTTTGTTTTTGTTGTTTGTTAGATTGAAACACTACAAAATAAAATTAAAAACCTGAGGGAGGTGAGAGGTCATCTAAAGAAGAAGCGACCAGAGGAATGTGATTGTAACAAGATAAGGTACTCCCTCACCCGCCCCTGACGGATATTGGAGAGTGTGGTTTGTTAAGGGTTTGGGTGGAAGGACTGTGAAGATGAAGAAAATGCTGAAGAACGCAAAGCTTATTCTTAGCTTGTTCTTTTGCCCTCGCTATGACCTTCAAGGCACTCACAACAAGAATGTACTAAAAAATGAAATTACTTCCATCTTGAGCAGCGGGCTTGATAAGTGAGGTGTAACAGATCTCCAAGTGACTATCATTCATACTTTACCAAAAAGATGAAATTCCTGTCTGAAAAATAATTTACAAAATCCCCATTATTGTTTTTTTTTTAAATAGCAAAACTCATACAGTAGAGCTTCTCTTTTATTGATTTCACAAGCAAGACTCACAAACGGATGTTTCAGTTTCCTCAGAGCTCAGGGATATAGGGAAAAGTTTGGGGATACAATGCAGGCCAAGAAAAAAAAACCTGGAGAAAAATTCTGGCACACATTGCTTCTCTTCAGTTCAAAGAATGGGGCTAGAAAGTTATAGACCTCAGGAAGTTGACTGTATATTTAATCTGTCTACTTCCTTGATACTTGGAAAGAATGGTATGCAAGACTGCCAGACACCTCATGTTTATTATCAAGGCAAATTTAGTTGAGAGTAACCAGCTATCTATGTAGCAAATTTTGTCTTTGTGCTAAACTGAATTACAGTATTACATTTAAAATGGTATTAGTTTTACAGTGAAAAAGTGAAAAAGCAGAACATGCATGATCACCTGCTTCAGTTTGAGGGTTTAGAGCTCTCGGCCAAGCTGGGGTGTCAGCATCTGATCACATAATTGCCCACTGTTAGAATTGTGGCTAGGGAGAGTCCAGCCCCTCTGCTTGAGCTGAAAAAGCTTTGCTGCTTCTGTTGATGAATCGCCACCCCTTCTGTTGGGGGATGTGCAACCCAGAAGTCGCGTTCAAAAAGAGAGCATAAAATGTTGCCTTGGATTTGACGAGCTAAGTGACTTTGCTAGTCACAAAACAGGAGGCTGCTCTGTAGGCCCTTGCAATGATCTGAACTTACCTTCTGGTTGCCAGGGGAAGGGCATCTCCTTACCGAAGAGGAAGCAGGCACCAGTGTGTCACACACACTCTTAGACCTAGGCCAATGCTGCTTTGCTGTTGAAGTCATCCAGGGCCAAAGCACACTGCTCACATGAGCAGAGAAGCCCTACTCTCTTTAAAAACCACAGGCCTAGAAAATGATAAATGCAACTTTTAAAGGAATGGTATGATTTCAGACTGTAGATAGGCTCATGTGACTGAATGTGTGTCCTCTGTAACAAACAGAATACAAGTTTCTATGTGGAAAACAACTAGCATGCTTTTCCTGCCCAGCATGTTAGCTGATAGTGAGGAGGAGCTTGAAAGAAGTTCATACCCGCTTTCCAAAATGAGCCAAATCAGGGTTACTTCCTCCTCTGTTGATTGACACCTAGTTTAGAGCTAGAGGCATTTTAGTAGTATGTGTCCTAGCTTTATTGTGTGGAAACAGAGGCCAGGAATTCTGGAAAAGAAACGGTGGCTTGGAGAAGGCCAATGGTCCAGTTAGATTTCACAGACAGCATAGTGTAGTGGGGTCTGATGACTCTTGACTAGGGGATGGGCAAAGAGTCTGCTCTGGGTTTGTGTGTGAACTTTATAGCACCTATCCAAGGTGCTGAACCCTATCCCTAAAATAGATTCAACATCTTGGAGTCAATGTGGATTCAGAGCACCTGCAAAACTGGAGTCTCCAGCCTCCATTGTTGCACTCACAGATACATTTAGATGAGGTTGGGAGAGGGCTACGCAGCTTAACCATTATTTTGTTTTTATTGAACATGTGCATTTATTTCTTATTTTAATTTCAGTCTTTATCTGTTGCTGATTCTAGCTTTGGGGGAGGAAGTGGGACTGAAAAGGAGAAATGAAGAATGGATTGCTAATCACACATGTGGGATGTTTGTTTTACAGCTTCCATACTAAGCATAAGGGCAAACTGAGGCACAAAGGATCTGGTCTCCATCCTTTCAAGTATGTGCAAACAAGCATCCAGAGAGGACCAATAAATGTGAAATGCGCTTAAAGCAGCTTTTGCTGTGGCTTTGCTGAATAAAATCTAAACAGGCAGGACCAATAAATGTGAAATGCGCTTAAAGCTTTTGCTGTGGCCTTGCTGAATAAAATCTAAACAGGCGTATAGAGAAATGATGTGAATGCCATTTGCTAAGGCACACATGCTGGTCATAGTTTACAAGTTGCATAGAATCCCTGTGTGTTGTATATACACATGAGATTATAGAGCTCCTGGTTGTACTTCTTTGCTTTAAGCAATCCACATAAAAGAAGCTATGCCAGAGTGGGATAAGAAGATTGTGGATCGAATTGTGGACTATGCCACTTTTACTGAGCCATAAAATGTCGTATCTTTAAACGTGCCTTCAATTTAAAATAAAGGTTGGGGGGAGGACTGCGTATGTGTCATACAATGGCACAGTATGGAGAACACCATGCTGAAGCTTTCAACTTAATATATAGCATCCAGAGGGGCTCCCCTCCCACCCTTTTTGAAATTGCAGGCAAGCATTTGAAATTGTATAATGAACTTGCTCCTCATTTCCAGGCTGAAACTTCAGTCCACAATTCTATATCCACCTTTTTATGACCCCATTTTTCATATTGTTTAGTAAAATAGCTCCAAGTACACCAGTACAGGGAATTTCTCTCTCTCTCTCTCTCTCTCTCTCTCTCTCTGTGTGTGTGTGTATGTGTGTTGGGTGTGTTGTTTTCGTTTGGCATCATTTAGCTTGTTCTCTTCTGGCTAAATGTCAGGAAATGCTGGTTCTCTACCTTGACAGCTATGAGATTTTACCCTGTGCAGCCATCCTACAAAATTAATTTTGCTGTAATTTGTAAAAATGCATGTATGAATCCCTTCTCATAACATTAAACACTTCACCTTCTAAGCTTGTAATGCATGTTTCAGGTTTATATGTTGTTGCCAGTGTGTTCAACAGGTCAAGAAGTTTTCAGGCCACTCCCTGCTCTCTATCTGTGTTGTAGGAAAGCCCTGCAAGAGAAGGACAAATTGTGGCTCCTCCGAGAACAGAGGCGAAAGAAGAAGCTACGGAAGCTGCTTAAGAGAATCAAAAATAATGACACTTGCAGCATGCCTGGCCTGACGTGCTTCACCCATGATAACCAGCACTGGCAGACTGCCCCCTTGTGGACATGTAAGCCCCCTTGTGACTACTTCATCTTAATCCAGAAAAGCACAGTATATTCCTCGCCTGTGCTTAACTGTGGCTGTTAATTGTTTGCCAGCAAAGTCCTGGAGGGAATTTGTCTATGTCTGTTACCTCCGCTGCAAGCAGTGTGCCTAATCAAATGCAGTTTCTTCAGCTCCAGAGTTTGGAAAGCTCACCCTTGTGAACTGCAAACTTTCAGAGTCTCCCAGCTTTCACAGAGGCTGTTGGCTGTGACATTCTGGGAATTGTAGTCCCCCCCCCCAAAAAAAGAGGAGACATCTGCCATCTCTTCCATTCATGATACAGAACAAACATACCAAACTCTCTCTCTAAAAAAAAAAGAAGAAAACCAGTGAGAGATTAGGGATCAGGTCATAGGTCTGCATAGGTTGGTGGAGTGTCTCGTGCCAAAGGCTGGGGGTGTTGCAGTCCTCTGCTTAAACACAAGCAATCATTCTGGGAATCCCAGTGCCTACTTTGGGAACTCAGTCCCATTATGGTGTGGGAGCTTGCTGGTAACACTCACTGGCAAAGGAGAGAAAGTCTTGACTTTATAAGCAAGCTTGATTATTTATTTAAAAGATGTTTAGATCACTTTATGTAGCACGTGTGGTTTGCAAATGCAGAAACAGTGAAATTGCAAATTCCAATAATACAATTTAACTTAATATTGAAATTTTTTTAAAATCTTAAAATTGTATGAAAGCATTTGTAAATATTACTAAAGGCAATGCTCAGGATAAGAGATAGTTCAATATTTATTGATAATTACCCAGTGCTTAGCACTATTTGGGCAGTATAGAAGCCTAAGAAATAAATAAATGTTCAGTATAAAATGGTAAGCACAGCCTTTCCACTAGTGATCTGCTGCTGTAGAGATAGTGGGAGCCTTCTGGCTCTTAAGCATAGAATCAGAGTACTGGAAGCACATTGTTCTGTTCATTTTTTTCAGCAGAAGGAACACATGGGGAGGGGTGTGCCTGTAAAGCTTTCTTAAATACAACAGTTAGGCCTATATAAGCAATTCAGAATCCTGCGCAATGAAAATTTCTGGATCTGCAAGAAGTAGTTCTGTGGAAAAGGAGAATACTTAACTAATGAATTATTTAATGTTTTCAATATTCTGCTATTTTTAGAAGCATTTTTGTAGCTGGCTTTGTTGCTTCCTTTCTGTTTGTAGTGGGTCCGTTCTGTGCCTGTACCAGTGCAAACAACAATACCTATTGGTGCATGAGGACAATCAATGAGACACATAACTTCCTCTTCTGTGAATTTGCTACTGGCTTCCTTGAATATTTTGACCTCAATACTGATCCTTATCAGGTATCTACAAAAACTAACAGAGCTTCAGAGGGTTTTTTTTTTTTTTTTGGAGGTGGGGGTAAGGGAATGGAAATTCATGCTTTTTATGAGAAAATAATATAAAGTTACAGTCTTGTTAGAGTCCAATGTGATTTTAACCATCATGGGTGGCAGTGACTTTGGAACAACTCACTAGGTTAGGTTCTATTCCTGTTTGGCTTATCATCTATATTTACAAATATTTAATTCTTGAACGAGCATTCTTTATGGAGCCACAACATGTGACACACAAGCTGTTCAGAAGTAAAACAGAAATGGGAAACGGTGAGAGACGTAGAATGGACTGAAGAGGAGTACTTCATACTGCAACATTTTGATCCAGGCCTGATTTGAGGACCATCCAGTCCCCAGATTCTAGGGTTGAATGCCTACTGTATATTTGAAATGTGCTGCCACTTCACAGCCATACAAGAGCAATCATATGAGACATAACAAAAAAAGTATTGTGAGGCAACAGCCATCATTTACCATTCATGCTTTTGGTTATAGTGGACTGCTTTCCATGGAGGGCTCACTGCAAAGGGCACAATGAATATTTCTGATTTTGATAATATGCATTGATCTTGAATTATGTAAAGATGGTGCTTATGGTAGTGCTGCCATCACATTGAGCTTGTCAGGTTAGAAAGTCTGATGCTTGAACATCTTTCCAAGAGCTCTATAGGAAAAATCAGAAGACTGTATTTGTCACAGCTGGCATTTATCCTAGTGTGCGTTAAATCCAGTGTGAAGCCAGATAACCATTCCCAATCAATTAAGGAACATTGATCTGAGAATCATAAGTCATTTCAAAATGTTATGGGTGTAAAATGCTGGTGGACTAAGTTGGTTGAGTACCAGTTTGCTCTATCCACATTTTAGGACACTAGTTTTTTCTTCTTCTCAGTTGTCTTTCTATTTCTTATAATTTGTTTGCATGTTCAGCTGTCAGCTATGAAAGAGATTCTTTTGCAAAGGAATGTCATTGTACATTGACCTTGCTTTCCGATGTGGCTAGAGTTGGCTGATTTGCAGTGACTGAGTAAACTGCTGTTCGAATCTCATTTTAAAGCACAATGTGCATGTTCATGGCTGCACTTTCTACATCCTCCTTAACTGTTTTAGCACTCTATACACACAAAATTTCACATCTTGATAGTCAAACAGGGGAGCTTATAAGGAATAGGTCCAGCAGGGCCCTCATTCTTGCCATCACAGTCAGCCCCTTGAGCAGCCAGCACTTCTGCCACCTCTTTCTTTCCCATGGCCCTTCTGTATTTACAGTGGTGCCTCGCATAGCAATCACTCCGTATAGCGATGAAATCACTTTGCGATGGACTTTTTGCCATTGCAAGAGTGATCGCTTTGCGATGGTCCCTATGGGGAAAATTCGCTATGCGATGATCGCTAAGCGAGGCACCACTCTATTTGGGATGGGAAAGTAGATGTGGCCACAGTGTGCTCAGTGCTACTTTCATTTTGGGTATTCTGTCACAATGGTCAGACAGTCCTGCTACACCCACTCTGCTACATACTACCCCTTTGCTCCCTCAGTATGAGTTAAACACAAGTAAGGTACTGGCTGCAGAACTTGTGTAAAAACTAGGCTTCCAGCACATCAGTTTGTAAGCCAAAAATCAATAAACTTGTGCACTTTATCTGGCATGCCAGGCCTGTGAGGTAGTGCTGCCATTACTCACACTTAACTCAAGAATGTTCACAGTCGATAGGCAAGAGTTCAGGGCTGGATTTAATGTGGGGTATGTTAAAG